AAAACCAGCAAAACCAGGTACACAGAAAGAAGAAAAACCAGCAAAACTAGGTACACAGAAAGAAGAAAAACCAGCAAAGCCAGGTACACAGAAAGAAGAAAAACCAGCAAAACCAGGTACACAGAGAGAAGAAAAACCAGCAAAACCAGGTATACAGAGAGAAGAAAAACCAGGTACACAGAAAGAAGAAAAACCAGCAAAACCAGGTATACATTTTTTTTCCTCTTGCATAAATGGATTGATACTGAACCGAGGTTCCTTTTATTTTGGACCTAAAGGATGTTCACTTCCCTCTTAAGGCTCACACATGTGACAAATAAAATCTTACGGGTATAGAGAGTTATTCATATCAAGAGAAATAAATGTATCTTCTGAATCCCATAGTTCAATGAGGGATCTCTTGGGGATCCTTGACATGAAATGAGGCCAGGCTTAATTTTGCTATTCTCTAATACTTCCAAGAACTTCTCCAATGCCACCTTGGGTTTCCCAACATCAAAAATAGAAGCAAATAAGCAAACAAATGGACACAAAAATAATTTAAGGAGGGTGAGAAAAGCTCAGTTGGTTGGAAAACTCTCATCTGGAGATAAATGATGTATTTTCACATCTTTTTTATGTCTTACATCAGCTTCCCTGGCTATAGGCTATGACCTTTAATCAGTTGCCTTATGTTACCTATAATTTCAATAAAATGTCAGTGCCATTTAATTATCTACTTGCCATTCAAATTTTTATTCACCTCAAATAATGTTTAAGTTGCCACAGATAAATGGCTGCCATCTACCAAAAGCCTTGACATAAAGCTTAACTTTTTGTAGCATAAATTTTGTAACCTTTGAAACTTCTGTTTGCCAATCTATGCCATATTATAGCAGAAAGATTAAATTAACTGAATAAATATACCAACATGCATTTTCAACTTGCTTCCTAGCTTCTCCAGACAAGACTCAAACATACAGTATGTATACCAATTAAAAACTTAATCTGTAGTTATTTTTAAGGAATTTTATAAATACTTTCATCTGCTCAGAACTTTTTTCATGAGAATAAATCTACATTCTGTTTTATAATTTTAGCATGAAAAAAAATCTTTATTTTTCACTTTGATCAAATGATGCAACAAAATATCTTCTCCCTGAGAGAAGAGATTATTTCTTTTTTATATTTGTATCCTCAGCAGCTAGCATGGTGGCTAGCATACAAAAGGTGCTTAATGGATGCTCATTGGGCACATTAAATAATCACTATTATATTTTACAACATTGAATATTCTTGGTGAGGGCCCAGACCTACAGAGAAATCAGAATCTGTCCCCAAAGGAAAGATAAAGGATAGATAAATGGATCTAACATAATCGCCTTCACAACATTCCCAATAGATCATCTAGGCTGCATGCTGAGGCACTTCTAGTGATGAGAAATTAACTTTCCCATGAAAGAACCCATTCCACTTTCAGGCAACTTTAATTGTTGAAAAATCATTCTTACATGGAACCAAAATTGGTGTCACCATGACTCTCAGCCTTTGGTTCCAATTCTATCCTCTAGAATTATATAGAATAAGGTGTTTCAGTGCCTCGGGTAATGATATTATTCACTTATCAAAACCTTTCACCTGTGCTGAATCTAGAAAGAATAGTAAGTTTTATGTTTCATCAACACACATGCACATGTACACAACACACAAATAAATATCTATTGTAGTTTACAATGCCATCTGTAAAAATAATGAACATCATCACCAAAATCCTTACTTCCTTTATGCCCAGTTTCTCTCTCAACCGATTTCCTCTGACTTAAATTTCATCCCAAACACCACCTGCAGCAGGAAATTACAAAAAATCAAGGAGGATATGAGGTTTTGTTTTGCTTTGATGTGTGTGTGTGTGTGTGTATGTATGAGAGAGAGAGAGTCTGTCTCCTATATTACTATGTTTTTACTCTGCTAACACTCCTTAGTAAAAATTATGTAAACAAATAATAATAATAATAAAATCATAATCTGTTGGCCTTTTTTTTTCTAGTTTGTGTTATATTTTCTAATTTCTATTATTGGTTATATTTTTCTAGCAACCCAGACTAAGAAGGAAGAAAAAACAACAAAACCAGGTACACAGATTATGGTGCTGGCATGAATAGATAAATATAGAACTTAATTGTCTTCTATTCTAGATTAAAAAGAGGTCCACTTGTCTCTAATGGGAAATGTAGGCAGTCTTTGCATTCTTCATTGTTTCCTTCTTTCCCTAGTACATACTGGGCTCCCAGGTAGTGAAGAGAATTTTATTGGTGGTGCTTGGTTCAGCAGCACACGTACTAAAATTGAAATGATACAGAGATTAGCCTAGCCCCAGAGCAAGAATGACACACAAATTTGTAAAGCATTTTATATTTTTAAAGAACTGTGGGCAGATAAATGGCACAGTGGATAAAGCACCAGCCCCAGAGGACCGGAGTTCAAATGTGGCCTCAAACACCTACTAGCTATGTGACCCTGAGCAAGTAACTTAACCCTGATTGCTTAAAAAAAAAAAGTAAATGAAACAAAATTATATAGATCAAGAATGACTTGAATGAAGAGATATGAGAAGGCATGCTAAATCTATCCCTTTGAGAAAGTGGGAGGTCCACAGGTGTTACACGCTGCACATATTTTCAGACCTTTCCAATGTATCAATCAATTAGGCTGATTTTTTTTTCCTTTCTACAAAATTACTGTTTGTCAAGTGGTTTGGCTGTTTGGGAGGGAGTTACTTGGAATAACATGGTGATGTAAGAAACAGAAAATATCAATACAAATTATTTTGAAGCAAAGGATGTATTGATTAAGATTTTACTTGGATGATACATACAAAATACTTAAAGAGTGAGGCATATGTAGGAATGTACCAAAACCATAGTAAATCAGGCTCAAGAGAACCAATTGTTCAGTTTTCATTGTAAGCATTTACACCTTTGAAATGAGCAAATGCTACAAAATAGGGCATGATTTATTGTTTTGTTGATTGTCTAGACTTAAGAAAGTAATGGGGAGAATATGAATAATGAAGATTAAATTTAAAAGTGAAAACAATTATTTTATTGGCATATGTATTTATCATAATACATTTATTGTGTGAGTTTCATAGTTCAGTGAGTCACCTCCTGCAGTTCATTGATATTAATTAAGGCCAGATTTAATTTTGCTGCTTTTCCATTTCCAAGAACTTTTTCAAAGCTACCTAAGGCTTACCAATAGCAAAAGGAACTAAATGAACACAAAAGAAAAATATGAATACCAATGAAAAATAACTGAAGAATATGCTACCATATTTGGTTGAAAACCCTAATCTGGGAGTAAATCAAAATTTTTCCTCATCTTTTTAATACTCTCATCAGCTCCCCCGGCCATAGTCTATGGGATTTAAGCAGTTGCCTTTTGTTACAAATAATTTCAACAAAATGAGAGTGTTACCAAATTACCTACTTGCCATCTGAATATTTATTTGCCTTGACCAATGTTTTAATCAGAGAGAAATGAATGTAATCTACCTAAACTTTGATATAAAGCATTGACTTTTCTGTAGCCTAAATTTTGTAGCATTTGAACCTTCCTTTGGTTATCATGCTATGTCATATTGAAGCAGAAATATACCAATATGCATTTTTCAATTTTTTTTTAGCTGCTCCAGACAAGACTCAAATACACAGTGTGTATGCCAATTAGAAATTTAATGTATAATTATCCTATGGAAATTTATAAATGTTTTAATATGATCAAAACTTTCTTGCAAGTAATAAATTAACTTTTATAAGTAATAAATCTATATTCTGGGCTTTGTGCTTTTAGCATGAAAACTTCTCTTTGTATGTTTTACTTTGATCAAGCCATACACTACAGTATCTGCTCCTTAAGATCAAAGCTTGTTTCATTTATGTCTTTGTATCTCCAGCACCTATCATAGTGACTAGTATGCAAAAAGTGTTTAATAAATGCTCACTCAATACATTAGTCAATCATTTTTACATTTAAAACATTAAATACTTTTTGTAAGGTTCCAGATCCAAGTGAAAAGCAGAATTTATCCCCAAAGGAGAGATATATAGATGGAACACATGAGTCCTCTTTATAATATCCGTAAGAGATGATCTAGGTTACGCTTAAACACTTCCAGTGATGAAAACTTCATTTCCCCATGAACCCATTCCACTTTCAGACAGCTGTTCAAGAATCGTTTTTGAATCAGATTTCATCTCCCTATTACTTCTAACCACTGCTTCTAAATCTGCCCCTTAGGGTTATACAGAATAAGTACTTTCAGTGCTGCAGGTAATAATATAAGTCACTTGTCAAACCCTTTAACTTATGTTGAATCTAGAAAGAACAGTAATTTTATGTTGGCTGTTTCTTCAGCACACACACACACACACACACACACACACAACCTAATGCGGTTACATGTTATTCTGTTAAATCTGTTAAAATGATGATCACCACCAAAATCCCCACTTCTTTTGTGCCCAGTCCCTTTCCCAACCTTCGACTGACTTAAATTTCAGCCCAAATCCCACCTGCACCAGGAAATTACAGAAAATTATACAGGGTATGGCTCTTTTCTTGATTGTTAAGTAAATCTATCTGGCATGGACCTTAGATTATTATGTTTTTGCTATGTTAACACTGTTTTATTAAAATAATATAAACAAATCAGAATAGCCATCAGAATCTGCTAGGCTTTCTTATAATTAATGTAGCTTTCCAATTTTTATTTTCCCCCTAGAACCTAAGCCTAAGAAAGAAGAAAAACCCACAAAATCAGGTACATGATCTTTGGTTCTTGGATGAATGGATAAATAAAGCACTCAACTTCTTTCCATTTTGGAGTGAAAAAAAAGTTCAGTTCCCTCTAATAGGAAATTTAGACAATCTTTGTATTCCTCATTGTTTTCTTCTTTCACCTCTACCTCCACATCCAGTGCTCATGTGTGTGGCAAATAAAATTTTATGAATGTAGAGATTTTTCTAAATCAAAAGTAATGTTCATCATATACGTTCCATAACTACATGCAGCATCTTCTAGAGTTCCTTGACATGAAGAGAGGCCAGGCTTAATTTTACTATTCTCCAATATTTCCAAGAACTTCCCTAATGTCACCCCAGGTTCAATAACATAAAAAGAAAAATATTGAGTAAGATCATGCAACCTCACATGATTGGAAAACTCAAATTTGGGGGTAGATAAGATATTTCCTCATCTCTTTTGTTCTCCTGCCAGCTTCAGTTAATCACTTTTGTATTTTACAATATTTGATAAAGTAGTATATTTTTATATTTCAGTCCTTGGGAACTTTTGTTAAACTATTTCCATGATGACTATCAATTAACTGTGCAAATATGTAATGAATTATATAATAAGAAGTTCATTATACATAAAACCTGAAAGTATTTTGTCATTTTTTTTGTAGAACAAGACACTATGAAACTGGAAAAGTCTGTGTCTCAAACTAAACCAGGTACTTTAGATTATATCAGAAGTTTGTAAACAATTCAGAATAGACTTTGAATGAGTCTTGTAGAATAGAACTGTGGTCAGGCCAACCAACACAGACTTCACTACTATTTTCTATGTTACATTATCTATACTTGACTCATTATAAGGGCCTTGTATGCTCAATATTACTTTATATTGAAGCCTTTAAAGTCAATGTTGATTGTAAGGTTAATATCCTTTGTGAAGGTATATGCTCAGATTATCATACACCTACTACTATGGGTTAGAAAGTTCTGACTCACAGGCAACTGGAACATTCTGGGAGAACAGTTTGAGACTGGGACAGCTCTGGAAATATGGATTCCAGACTTTATTATTCAAGCTTTGAGAGGGGGGCTGAAATAGCCCAGAATCCTTAGGTGGGAAGTTATAGATGACTAGAGAACTTAGGTAATTATTTCTTCCATTCCTTTTTATGTCTCTTGGAGAAGGGTAGATGTGTTCCAATAGGCTCAGATGAGAAAAACAATAAGAATTCCAAATGATTAGTGCTTTAGAATGAATTTCTCTTCTACAACATAAGCCAAATAGGATTTAAAGCTTTTGCTAATCACCATTTCCCTGTTCCTAGAGAACATTTCTCTTCAGGTCAGAATGATCTATATAATGTGACCTTTAATGTTTTTTGAGCAACATGTTAAAACAGGCTTCTCATTAAGCACCAGAAAAGGAAAAAAAAACCGACCTCTCTGCTTTCATTTGTGTGTGTGTGTGTGTATGCATGTAGTTTTCTTTTTTGGGGGGAGGGCCTGAATTTTAAGAGCTCACAACTATTGTGGAGATTCCTACTTTTAAAAAAATGATACGTTCAAAAATTATTGGAGAGAAGATGCTGCTGAAAGGAGGGGATGTGGAAAATTATATGGATGAGCAGAGAGAGATAGACTCCAGTAACCTTGCTTTGCTGTCTTGTTGTATGCCCCATGTTTCCTTGCACTAGACTTTGGGTTCCCCAACCTTCTTACATCCTTTTTTAATACAGATAGATTGTGATTGGCATTATGGGACAGAAAGCCCAATTGATGAGATCATAAATCTTCTTAGGTGTAGGAGTATCAGTACAAGCCAATAGCACTGAGACAATTAAGGCAAATCTCCTGCATTAAGCTACCCATTTCTTGTGATGTGACTCCATGAAAAGTCTTCTCCTTATATTGAAATAGAATATCAAGCATTCAGTTTCTCTGAAGGGTGGGCCTCTTAATAAGTTTCCATACCTTATCAATCTAGAATTTGAAAGTTAGAAGGGACCAGAGTGACAAACTAGTCCAACTTATATACAAAAAGTTCTCTTTTGCCTCCATTCTAACATTTAATTCCTTCCTATTCTCTAGCTGTTTCCCAGCCTTTCTGAGTTGACTTTCTATAGAGCTTAATTCAGCAAATCTAATTGTGTATACAGCAGAAACACTTGGAACACTAAATTCTTCCAAGTGTCATTGCAACTTTTTTTTGTTTGTTTCTGAGAAATCTCGGAGAAAATGTCAAGCAATCTTATTGTAGAAAGCAAAGCGAGTATACCAACAAGAAGCAACCCACATATACCACTTCCCTCCAATGACCCCAGCTTTGGGAAGAGCCACAAACATTTATTTTTCAAATCCACAACAAACAAAAGTAAGCATGTAGGCAATGCTTGAGAAGTACTGACAGGCTTCTAAGTACCATATTAGGGGCTTAGTGGCTTTGAGTAAAAAAAAAAAAAGGTAGAAAATGATTACTAGCTAGCCTCCAGAATCACAAAGGAGCACATATTCAATCAGTGCAGATTTATACAGATGCATACATATATATCTATATCTATCTATCTATCTATCTATAGATAGATAGATAGATATAATACAAGTGGAGGAGAAAGTAGATGG